TCTCATACTTCGGACATATTGTCAGGAGGGACCAGTCGCTGGAGAAGGATATCATGTTTGGTAAGGTGGAGGGTCAAGAAAAAGAGGAGGACCCCCAGCAAGATGGATTGGCAAATTGGCAGTATCAATGGGCTCAAGCGTGGCAACAATTGTGAGTTTGGCCCAGGACCAGGCGGTGTTTCTTTTTGTTGTGGATAGGGTGGCTATGAGTCGGTACCAACTTGATGACATCTAACAACAACAACAGTGCTCTTATCAAAGTCCTCATGTAGCACTGTGGGCTAGTAAGCTGGACTGCAAGGTTGGTTTGAATAACAAGGTCAGTGGTTCAAGCTCACCAGTCACTCCTCGGAAACCCTGTACAGGGCCGCTAATTGCCGGAACTGACTCAACAGCACTTAACAACAACAACAACAAATGTTCTTATCGCCAGAACAAAGGAAACCAATGAATTACCAGCCAGGATGTCCGCCTCATCCATGAACTGGGTGCTGAAAAGGATCACCCGGTCTTTTTTACGCTCCTTCAGGAAGTTCCATACTCGGTGTCTGGAAAAGGGATCTAACCCAGCAGTCGGTTCATCTAATATGAAAATCTGCAGAGGAGAGAGCGATTGAAAAGGATTGTCCACTCTATGCAAACTTCTCCCAGAAGCAAATAAGAAACTATAAATTGTTTGTATTTGAAAAGTATTGTGATTAGGATTTTACTCATATTTAATGTTCTGCTGTAAATATTTTATTTCAGATACTGTTTGCAAATAGAGGGTTTGATTTTTTATTTTAATATTTGCATTCCCTGTAAAATTACTTTTACTTACCTGAGGATCTCCTAAAATGGCAATCCCAAAACTCAGTTTTCTTTTCTGTCCACCACTTAAGTTTTGAACAAGGACATCCTGAATATTTTTCATTTCCAATTCCATCAAAATTCTTTTAACCTAGTAAAAAACATTTATATCATAAGACAGAATTCCTTCCTTCTGTCCTTCTCCCTCCCACCCCAATTCTCCTGCCTTTAAAATTTTTTCCTTCCTAGATTCCTTCTTTCTTTCTTTCTTTCTTTCTTCCTTCCTTCCTTTCCTTCCTTCCTTTCTT